TTAAAAATGTGTCATCTACACCAATAAATGGTCTTAACCCTAACTTGAAACCCATCTACATAGCTTTGAAACAAACATACATCCTCATGAATCTTCTTTTCCCATTTTCAAGTGCATTTTTTGAAATGTTAATCACTACATCACTGCCTGGATTACTCTCCTCAAGTTTGTTGTACTCATCTGCAAAACTCCCATCTAAGGTCTCCAAATCATTCCTTTTGTCCTCTTCCACTTTCCATGAATCACATTTAACTCAAAAATGATTTTCAAATCAAGTACCATCTCCCTTACCTCATACTTAGGATTATCATGTAGCTTTCCTTTAAAGTAATGTTTAATGGTATTGAAATCAACAGTATTATTATCATATGCGGTGCCACAATTATGTTCTAACTCTAATGTCTTTACAGTAACCCTTGCATTACCATCTTTGGATATTAAACAAACAAAGGGACAGCCCGCAATGCATCTATACCTAACCCTCCTTGGGTCATTCTTCCTCAATTTTAAGACTTTCTTGTTGGCTGGAGCATACAACTTCATAAACTTCCTAGCTTCTGGTATGTCCTTAAGGACATGCCTTTATATATCTCCTTGCAATCAATCAGATTCTCAGTTATGTCTTTTTTTTTGTGTTTTGAGTAAATGTAATTCTTCAGAATCATATCCTTCAGAATCACATCCCTCGGAATCAAAACTAGAGTCAAATCCTAATTCACTTAAGCTACAGTCAATACCAGCCTCATCTAAACAAGGATATGATTCACTATAATCAACAATACTGGGAATACACTCAATAGGGGGGTCACATTCATCCACAACATATAGGTTCACTATATTATATTCATTAGAAAGCAAGGATATCAACTGTCTAATCCCCACATCCCCTTGAACCTCATACAATTTACCAAAAGGTCCAGCAACTATAAGTTGTTGAACCTCTACAAACCCTAGCTGAACTATGAATTTAGATTCTATATCTATATAAGAAAGCAAGTCTGAATCATACTTGACAAAGTGTGCAGTTTATTCTTTGTGTACACAACTTCAGGATGTGTAACCCATTCACCTTCATAATTGAATATTAAATCAACTAAAATCATCTCCAATAATCTAGTAAATATAGCAAGTAAGAATGGTTAGCAAACAGTAAAAGAAACAATAGAAGCTGAAAGTAAAAAAAAAAAAAAGAGGAATAAATATAGGTAGAAAATGACATGTGAGACAGAGGGTCCCATGAATAAAGAAATACAACATGTACAAAAGAATCCACAAAAAGTCCAGTTTAAGGGTCACCCCTTCATAAAAATTGACAAAGAGAGCAAAGATGCACTAAAATCCAACCACCGGAATAGTTTAATGAAGCAGTTGCATTCAAGGGTCCTACATTTAGGACCACCTTAGCTAATAAACAAAGAAAAAGCACTAAATCTCAGTTAACATCACAGAAAACTAAGGCTTTTTTCCCAGTAAGAAAAAAAATAAATCATAATCCACTTAAGAAACCACCTCTGAGAAAAAATCCTAAACCAGAAGACAATAAATCCACCTTGATATATGCCCATACGAATTTATTAGTATAACTGAAGCATGCAACCACTACAAATCGGGACCACCTCAAAAATGAAACATGTAACAACTACAAGAAGACAAACTATAAAGTATATACATAAAAATGAAGGATAAAGCTTAGATGTTGTCCAAACCGAAACCCTAGACCACAAAAATAAGAATAATATAAGAAGCAATCAGCAAAATCGATCAAAAAAATACTAAAATCGAGCAATTTAATGAAGAAAAGACTGACCTTTACACCAAGATCATATGAAATCGGCAGTTTGGAGTCACCACTACCGCCGGTCTCTTAGAGCTTCGAGAGAGTGAAAAGAAAACGGGGAAATTGACCAAATGGTCTATGACAGTCCATATTTTTGAAAAGGATTGGATCGGGTTGGGTAATGGGTTGGGTCGGATCTATACTAAATCTAACCGGATGATTTTGGTGTTGCCACGTTGCCCATCTGTTAAAATAAGGGTATTTGTGTTTAATAGTATAACGAAAGACTTATTTATACTATTGATGATAGTAGAGGGGCATATCAGACCCTTTGCCGAACATGCTAAATGGCAAACCATGTTCAGCAAATCAGCGGTATTGCAGTTGAAGACAGAGGCGAACCTAGGTATAAACTTGAGGGGTCATGGAACTCCGTAAACTTTAGCATTGATCTTGTATACAGGCTGAATACATACGTAGCCCCTTAAACTTGTCCGTTTTTTCCACTTAGACACCTATACTAACACTTGTACCTATTGAACACTTAATCTCCCAAAAACTTTGTCAATTAAACACTTCTCTCACATTCAACCAGAAATATAAAAGGAGTGAGCTACACGCGGATGATGTAGATAAAACTACCAACAAAGAAAAGACGCCTCAGGAGGGAAGAAGGAAAAAAAGAATGAAGAAAAAGCCAGAAGATAAACCTGGAGACTGGAGAAGGTTAAATTAACCACCCCAGCTCCACAAATATGCAATTCAAGTTTTCCAGTGAGAAGGTGACCGGAGGTCCTGAAAGCTCCGCCATCTGGGGACAAATCTTCTAGCTCCACGATGCTCCCAACGTGGCAAGCTAACTTTGACCCACCATTTTTTGGAATCACAAAAAATTACTGTAATTAGTTTCCCGGAGCTTCTGCTCAGACCAATTTTGCAGAAATTAAACCCTCGTGATCTCACAACTAATAGCCACAACTCATAAAGACATTTATCACTCATCAATACTCATTATAAAATAAGAGAGAAAATGAATCTTGTAGAATCCCTGGTTGACGACAAAATTTTATTGCCGGCGATAGGGGTGTTCATAAAAACCCGAAAAACCCAACCAAACCGAAAACCGAACCAAACCGACCAAAAAAATCGTTACTTTTTAGGTTTGGTTTGGTTTTGGTTTTGAAATTTAAAAACCGATCAAATTTGGTTTGGGTTTGGTTTTAATCAAAAAATAACCGAAAAAAACCGAACCAAACCGACTATAAAAGTAGTTATTTAAATTTATTATTACACCTACATATATGTATATTTTTATATAAAGTTTCTAAAATTTTATAGTACATATTAGTCATTTGTATTTTTGGTCTAGTTCATTGCTATTATAATAATCTAATTTTTTGCCTTTATATTCTAGTTTGATTGGTAGTTTTTTTTTTTGCTAAATACAAGAACTTATTTCATGTTAAAAATAATCGATTTTGAATTGAGTACTTACATTATTCATCACTATTTGATTCAATTATCATCAATATATTTTGGTAAATGATAGATTTCTCAAAGAGCAATTGATTTGATAGTGTTACGTTGAAAATGTAGTCGCCGGAATATGTATTTGGTAATATATGTCTCATATTTAAGAAAATAACCGATAAATAACCGGAAAAAACCAAAAAACCGATAAAAACCGAATCGATAAAAATCCGACTTAATTGGTTTGGTTTGGTTCCAATATTTGAAAAATCGACTTACTTGGTTTGGTTTCTTTTTAGAGAAAAACCGACCCAAACCGAACCGTGAACACCCCTAGAGAAATGAGGTGACTAATTCTACAAAAAAAAAAAAAAAGAATCTGATCAAAATTCCAATATAAAGTAAAAGGGAAAGGGAATTGCATTTCTGTTTGTAACTGTAGCTACCAAAACTCAACTTTTTGGTGGTTGATTGGTGTACTCTTTGTTCAACTTTCAAGTTCAATTTTGTGCAACTGCAGGTTTCAGAAAAAATGGGGTTCTTTCTATTTTGAGTTCTTTTATGAAGAATAGACTGGCTTCCGGTGAAAAAATGGAAACGGAGTCTCTTTTTCTATTTTGTTGAACTGCGTTGATTTGTTAATGGAGTTTTTCATATGGTATGTCTTTTTCTTTTCAAATCATGGAGGAAAAAGAGGGCGGTCACTGATGATCAGCCATGGAGGAAACATGAGGGAGGGGAAAGTTTGGCATGATAGAAAAGGGTCGTGAGGTATTTCTCCGTCCATGCTCCGGGGAAGGTTCTGTGGTGATCCTGCCAGAGAGATGGATGGAGAAAATTTTGAAAAATAAAAAATTCTAGATTCTCACGCTCTCTGAATTTGTGTAGTGCACGCACTATGCCAGCTCATCGGATAGTGTCTAATGGATATACCCTTTGTAGAGATTAAGTGTTTAATACGTACAAGTGTTAGTTTAGGTGTCTAAGTGGAAAAAAAGGACAAGTTTAAGGGGCTACTTATGTATTCAGCTTTATATATATATATATATATATATATATACCTTGAAAATGATTAATTTAAATCATGTGGCACTCTGAACACTAAAAACTTGTAGGGAGCACTGGTTAAACAGAATATTGGTGCCCCATCGCGTTAAAATCCTGGATCCGCCTCTGATTGAAGAGTTTGCTTACCATTAAAGAGAAAAGCTGGGTTAAAAAAAAGCAGCCCATTTGGAGAGACTTTTTGTATCTTAGTTTTCACCAGGCTACATATCCCTTTAACTCAGTACCACCCCCGCCTCTTAACTGGTATCTGCACCAACGATGCAACATATTATGCCAAAGTTCATGATGCATATTATGTAACTAAGGCCAACTCCTGTTGCACTGATCAATATGTAATCATTTTGTAGAATTACGTGGTTCTGTCCCCGAAAACATGAATCATTTACCTTCATCATTAAAATCTTTTGAAGCTACAATCCACAGATTGGCCCTCCTTGATCCTCTATTTCACAAAATGTTAAATTTCATATCCACAACATAGCCAACAATTGTAAATTTTGCAGGAAAATGAAAGCAGAATTAATAAGTACTTTTCAGAAAATAATTTAGAGAAAAAGTACTCTGCAGAAAAAGAAAAGCAGCACGGATTTAAGTTCATTCACGTAGGGCAATAAGACGAACAAAAGACTAGAACTACACACAAGCACGGGGCACAGACACTTCAATTCCTACTGTATGCATTCCACAACAAAACTACTTACTTAGCACCAGGTAGTTACATAATTCCCTAGGAGCCTACAGGCATTTCTTAAAACCAAAAACATAGTAAAAATACAAGGAGATAAACATAAGAGGAACATTGACTGAAGTGGAATGCAGTGCCCTGATCATGAGTACAAATTATTAATCTACTCATTTTCTTGATCACCATGAAGAGAAATCCTGTCCATGATATTGGCCACCACATCTTTTGACTCCTTGAGAAGCTTGACACTCTTGTTGAGCCTAGTGCGCTTCTCGGCAATCAAAGGCGACTCATCCAGCATTCTCTCGATTCCACCACCGTGAGGCGCCATCAGATCCTGAACGATCGCCTCTTCCATCTCCTTGTTAACCATCTTTTGAATGCTGAACATAATGTGCAAAGCCATAAAATCAACCATCCTCATCAACACAAGTTTCCAATATGCAGTGATCCTCATTTTCATATCAAATGCCTGCTGCACCATACATAGATGCTTCCTTAAATGACCAACATCAATTTCTCCAACTCCCTCCAAGTTTATTACAGAGGGCTTATGGGGATCGTTCATAATCTCCATAAACGCCTGCTGTTGCGCAATGAGCTTGCTATAAGTTGCTAAATAGTCGGGATTACAAGTGTAATCAGTCAGCTTTTCCATCCCAATTATTTCCCTTACCCAATCAACTGATTCATTCTTCTTGATGAAAATCAAGTTTTGAGCAGCTCTTCTGGTGGAAGACTGAAGCTGTGGGTAGTTATCACAATGATACATCAACACTTTGATAACAATTCTCTCAACGTAATTCCACAATCTTCCCACGAATTCCTCTGGAATTCCAGCAATTTCACTGACTTTTTTCTGCAATACATTGAGGAAAACGGCCCGAGGGAGGAAGTTTGGCAATCCAATCCCTTTTGTTTCCTCTAAAGCCATGATCTCTTCCATCAAAAAGTCTCCTTTTTTCTCAAAATTCTTTGAATGTAGCTCAATAGAGTATTGGTCAAGCATTTCAACCAGTCTAGCTGTGCAATGCATTTCTTTTTCTTCCGGATACTCGTCAAACTCCCCTCTTAGAAGAACTTTTTTTAACGATTCCTTGGATGAACTCAGAATACGCATGAATGCCGTCAAAGCTTCAGCCACAGAAGTTAAATGCTGAGGCAGGCTGTTGAGTTCGGCGACATTGGCGGTCAGTTTGTCATTGATTTTCCCCACAATTTCAGGCAAGCATTTCGAAATGATACTTGATTGAATACGCACCAGCTTTTGTGCCAGAACTGGAATGCCGACCATGGATTTATCAATCTTTGATAAAAGTGGATGAGTTGAGAAAAGCCTTGCCTCATCACTCCTGGCTTCTTCATAAGACTCATTCCCAATTCTATTCCTCACACAAACATATCCGAGTCCTATATTCACTTCATCTGCAGTAACTTTCTCAAGCAAACCTTCAGGAGCTTTGTCAGCCTTTGTCACAACGGCTAGAGTCCTTTCCCCTGTTTTGTCAACCTTCTGAGACATCCTAATAGACTCACAAGTAGGAAAATCAACAGTAGCTGACAAAACATTCAAGATTATGCTTTCCTGAGGAGCTATATATTTCATAATAATATCAGATATTTGCTCATAAATGTCTTCAGGTTGTCCCTGAACAGGAACTCTAGTGATTCCAGGCAAATCTACCATGGTCAAGTCAGGTACACCATTCTTTTTCACTACAAGTGTTAAAGGGTTGTTAGATATGCCCTTACCATGGCCAGCAATCTCATCAGTTGCAAGAATGATAGCATCTGCAATGCCAGCTTCATCGACAGGGAGCGACTTCTCATTGTACTCCAACCGAAGATTTGTTGTTGTGATGTTTGAGTCATTTTGCAGCCTCATAATTAGCGGGACTCTGGTGCAAATGCCTTGTCCTCTAGGAAGGCTGATTCCAGCAAGGGATTCAAGAACACTGGATTTTCCAGAAGATTGATCGCCGACTACTACGATGGTCGGAAGCTGGATGCCTTCTTGCATGATGTTAAGGTGGCGGAGTTTGTCTACGCAGTCGAGGAGTGGCCGGATTCTATCATTGAAGGATGCAACAATAGGAGGATGAGCTGGTGGTGCTACTACTGCAAGAGGTTTAGGATCAAGAACAGCAATTGAATCAGATGGAGATTGTTCATCAGAAGAGCAGCGATTGGTGTTTTGGTAAGCCATACTTTCTTGAGAGTAAATAGAAATGCTTTTGAAGGTTTCTTTCAAAGGTGGTGGTGGTGGTGGTGGTGGTGGTGGTGGTGGTGGTGGTGGTGGTGGTGGTGAAGTATATAAAGAACTTTTTTGGTTTGAAAGATAAAACATGTATAATTCTGGTATAAGTATTTGGTTTGACAGGCAAAAGAGATACTATATCCGAAAATGTCCAAATATGCCCTTGTACTATATGAAATTGAATACATTTTTCCTTAGTTTATACTTTAGCACATATATGCCTTTACCATCATATAGTTGGTCCATATATGTGTATTCGGTGATACCCTTTTTTGCTTGAGCCCGACCGGATTGGATCCGGTCCGGAGCAAGTCGGGGCCATCGAACCCGACCTGGATGCAAGGTAGAACGACGGCCACGTCTACAACCGAGGTCGAGTCATTTCGAGACCGTTACAGAGCTCGAAAGGAATCACCACCGGATGGAGAAACACACAAGGTCGGAAGCCGGGCTCGTAACGGATAACCAAGCGTCGCCGGATATCTCGCCCAAACGTGATTTTCTCAACCACTTCAGGCCATTAAGGCGTAATTACAGGGATCCACGATGTAATCAATTTACCTACCTTATTTTTACCCTTAATCAGAATGTATAAATGGGTATCTCTCTAAATTCTTGTGGGGCATCAAGCACAATTGTTCTAAGCAATATTATATTCTGCGATTATTTACTTTAACAGCAATTGTTGAGTCTTTATCTTTATTTTCCTCAACCTAAAAGCCTTTTGTATCTTTTAGTTCACGGATCCTTAAAACCCCATATAAATTCAATTGTTATCCGGATTCGAGGGTAAACAATATGTACTATACGATATTGAGCATATTTGTCCTTCGTTAAGACTTTAGCCCATATATGCCCTTGATCTCAGATAGTTGGTCCATATATGCCCTTTTTCGAAACAGAATCCACCCAAACTAATTAGTTCTTTCGTTAATTGTATTAAATTGGATTACAAACACTATTTTCTTTTTATTAGTACTTTTTTTCTTTACCTTTCTCTTTTCTTTCTTTTTTTATTTTTACTTTTTCTTTCTCCCATATCTGATTTCTTCCATTATTATTGTCTTCCCCATTTTCGTCACCAATTTAACTTGACAAAACTCACAAATTCCTATTAATTTTACTATCAAAAACCCCACATGTTCTTCTGAACTGAATGAGATAAAAATTATTGGAATTTTTTTTCCGGTGGTGTTAATTGGGTGAAGGGAGTATATGGTTATTCACTTTTGAAGGTGTTGTTCACTGTGGAGCTTCAGATCCGAAGGAAGCAAGACCTTCAAAATCTGAATGACATACTCCCTTCATCCAATTAATACCACCGAAAAAATTTCTCCGATAATTTTTATCTCATTCAGGTCAGAAGAACATATGGGGGTTTTGATAGTAACATTAGCAGGAATTTATGAGTTTTGTCAAGTGAAATTGGTGACGAAAATGGAGAAGGCAGCAGCAATGGAGGAAATCGGATATGGGAGAAAGAAAGAGTAAAAAAAATAAAAAAAAAAATAAAAAAAATAAAAAAGAAGAAAGAAAAGAGAAAAGAGAAAAGAGAAAGGTAAAGAAAAAAAGTACTAATAAAAAGGAAATAGTGTTTGTAATGCACTTTAGTACAATTAACGAAAGAACTAATTAGTTTGGGTGGATTCTGTTTCGAAAAAGGGCATATATGGACCAACTATCTGACATCAAGGGCATATATGGGCTAAAGTATTAACGAAAGAAAAATGTGCTCAATTTCGTATAGTACAAGGGCATATATGGACCAACTATGTGACGGTAATGGCATATATATGCTGAAGTATTAACGAAGGATAAATATGCTCAATTTCGTATACTACAGGGGCATATTTGGACCTTTTCCGACACTATATATTACTGTCGTAAGTACTTTGGTTTTCTGCTTTTCCTAGAACACGAAATGAATTCTGGGATGAGTTTGGCTCGGTGTTACTTATACAGTACGCATTTGATTTTTCTTATAAAATTCATTTGTACTTGTGCATAGTTTAATACCAAAAACCATAATTATGGTCTATGGACTTTTATCCGTACGGGATATAATGTGCAATAAAAAAAAACCATCCGTACTTGAGTGGCTGTGAGAATATTACTTTTGCTTAAAGAAGCTTTTGAGATGAAAGCTACGAGCTCCATAGGCTTTCTTTTCCAATGAATATATATGTAGGTGTAGGTGTTTCAGGAAAAAGAATAACCAGACCATAGCCTTCCTGTGATATATGATTCCACTGCAATATTGTACCTCCTTTCTTCTCATTGTACGCAACCTCCTTGGATTTGTTTCTCTTCATTGCTAACGACAAATTGCTACAGACGGAGAACTTTTTAATAAGAAACATTTTCTCTCCTTAGTCTAGACACAAGTTCGCCCGGTAAATTTTAGTAGATAATTAATACCTTAAAAAGAATCTCAGGTATTGGGTGTGTTTGGTACCATATTTTACTTAAAAAATATTTTTTTAAAATATACGGAGTAATTGGTTTTCTTACTTATTTTTTGGTGTTTGGTTAGGTAAAAAAATTATTTTTAAAAATATATAATTTAGATAACGTTTTCGTTTCTTTTGGTAGGGAAGTTATTTTCTCCAAATTGAGGAAGATGAGTTCATATGGAAAAATTATTTTCCAAAATATTTGATGCAACCAAACATAAGAAAAATTGGAATAATACTAAACACACCCATTGAGTTAGGAGTTTTCTGTAAAGAAGAAATGGACTTATATTGAGTTGGAAGTTTTATGTAAAGAAGCAATGTATAAGTCCATCTGTTTGTAGTTTATGGTGATATAACGGCAATATTCTCCCCACTAAGCATGTAAAAAATTTCAAACTTGTAGGAACTAGTATGCCAAAATGACATTTTTTTCTCCGAAGTTGAATGTCATAAGTTGTGAAACAACAACTAATATGTTTCAATCCCAAACTAATTAATCCGTTATATGAATCTTCACGTTCATGTCGCTACATGTCATAAATTGTGTAATTAAGAAAAAAATTGGTAGAAAGAGGATATACTCAGCAATCTGTCCAATGCAGTGGGATTAAGTTGTAAGGTTTAAAAAAGGATTTGTAACAAAAGTGGTCTCCTGAAAGTTGAGTCCGGAACCTAAATATTGTGTTTTGGACTTAAAATACATTAATAAGTGTAAAAAAAAAGTTACCTTTCTATGTGTAGCGTCTAAATTCAAGACGCTATACCTTAACGGTAACTTTTGCCGTTAAGGTATAGCGTCTTGAATTTAGACGATATATGCCCGACGATTTGACTGCCACATATAGCGTCTTCATTTCATATGCTATACATATAGCGTATGAAATGAAGACGCTATACCCCTAATTAAATAACGGCCTTCGTCTTCTTCCCCGACCAGAAACCCCTTTCCTCCATTTTTTTAAACCTCCCAGCTTCTGGTCCCCCCCCCCTCCCCACTGCTCGTGTTTTTTATTAAAAAAAAAATTGTGGGCCCCTCCCGTCACACAAAAGGTGAAGAATGTAGGTCCCACATCGTACTGGAGCATTGTATTATTGTGATTTAACTCCATCGTTTTCAAATTTTCACACAAAACACTCACTACATCGAGGTATTTCGATTTATTTTATGTCGAAACTTGTATAATAATGTACATTAGTTGATTGAATGTGTTTCCATGTCGTTTTGTATTTTGTTTGCGAAACTAGTATGTTATATTTATCCGGACTTAGATTAATGTGTTCTAAAATAAATGTAAAATTGAGATTTAATTTTTTATGTTAATATCCGAATTTAGATATTAGTGTTTCCATGTCGTTTTGTGTATTATTTGCGAAACTAGTATGTTATATGTATTTTTGTGAATGTTATGTGATTAAAATGTATTTGTTGTTTACATTTAGTTTATTTATTAGCGTAGTAAAATATAGAAACATTTAGCGTAGTAAACTGTATAGTATTTTAGCGTAGAATCCCTGTAGTTTAAGTATTTCTTATACTGGTAGATGAAGATATATACTTTGTACAATTCAATAATCAAAATATTGAATTTGACCCACATAAATATTCAGGATAGTTTGGTGCTACTGGGCCTCAAATAACGAGCCTGGAACCCAATAGGTATATATATATTTAAGAATTTAAATAATTAAAAATTAAGAATTTAAATTATAAAACAAACACACACAAAATTATCAAAATATTGAATTTAACACAATAAATATTCATAATATTTTGGTGCTACTGGGTCTCAAATAACGAGCCTGGAACCCAATAGGTATATATATTTAAGAATTTAAATAATTAAAAATTAAGAATTTAAATTATAAAACAAACACACACAAAATTATCAAAATATTGAATTTGACACACATAAATATTCATGATAGTTTGGTGCTACTGG